CCCTTGGACATGAGCCTTAGGCCAGGAGTACATGAGTAGCCAAGATGGTTCCTCCATATGTTAGGTGTTTGGTACCCCATCTCATTCATATTTCAGGAAGATGAAGGAAAGTGCCCTGGAACAGCATGCTAATTGCTAACAGCCAATCAGGAGCCTGCTTAAAATTTTGTCACATTTAACTGTAATATAGAAGATATTTGGCTACTTATTCAAGCATTATAATGAGTGTCAGAAACCTACCCCAACATTTTCAGACACACAGATTACTCAGTCATCTTAAACTTGAACTAAACCCTCCTATACAGCCAAGGAAGCTGCCATCTTAACCTCTGCTTGATTTGCAGTTGCCATAGTGCTGCACATGTGATCAATTAAGCAATTTGATGGCCTGGTTTGATTGAGAATACTAACAAGTGTGACAGCTACCACTGATGACATGCTTTGAATGTAACTGTTCTAGGAACAGGACTCTTTCAAACCATGGTGCAGAGATGTCAGTTTTTCTGCACGAGTTCTGCAAGGTCTCAACAAAATCATTTGTTCTCTATGTTCCCTGCTCACACCACAACACTGGTGTCACATGCAGATTTTTTCTGCGCAGGAATCTGCAATGTGTATAAAAACTCATTGAAACACGCATGAAAACTGATGTAAACCGATGTTTCTGCAAGTGAAATCTGCGCATCAGTTTGCATCAGTTTTTCTGCATGTATGTTTTGAATGTTTGCCCACTCACAAAGAATTGGTCAGTCTAAAAATCGAATGGTAGGTGTATTGTAACACTGAGAGACAGAATAGCAATAAAAAAATTCCAAAGAAATGCATGTCTAACAAATGATGCACTGATTGGCATGTTCATGAGGGAAATAGGTATTTGATCCTCTTCACAAAACATGACTTAGTACTTGGTGGCAAATCCCTTGTTGGCAATCAGAGAGGTCAGATGTTTCCTGTAGTTGGCCACCAGGTTTGCACACATCTCAGCAGGGATTTTGTCCCACTCCTCTTGGCAGATCCTCTTCAAGTCATTAACGTTTGGTGGCTGACATTTGGCAACTTGAACTTTCAGCTCCCTCCACAGATTTTCAATCGTATTAAGGTCTGGAGACTGGCTAGGCCAATCCAGGACCTTAAAGTGCTTCTTCTTGAGCCACTCCTTTGTTGCCTTGGCCATGTGTTTTGGGTCATTGTCATGCTGGAACACCCATCCACGACCCTTTTCAATGCCCTGGCTGAGGGAAGAAGGTTCTCATCCAAGACTTGACAGTACAATACCCCATTCATCGTCCCTTTGATGCGGTGCAGTTGTCCTGTCCCCTTAGCAGAAAAACACTCCGAAAGCAGAATGTTTCCATCACCATATTTTATGGTTGGGATGGTGTTGTTGGGGTCATAGGCAGCATTCCTCCTCCTCCAAACACAGCGAGTTGAGTTGATGCCAAAGAGCTCGATTTTGGTCTCATCTGACCACAACATTTTCAACCAATCCTCCTCTACATCATTCAGATGTTCAGTGGCAAACTTTAGACGGACCTGGACATGTGCTTTCTTGAGCAGAGGGACCTTGCAGGCACTGCAGGATTTCAATCCTTGTCAGTGTAGTGTGTTACCAATTGTTTTCTTGGTGACTGTGATCCCAGCTGCCTGGAGATCATTGACAAGATCCTCACGTGTAGTTCTGGGATGATTCCTCACTGTTCTCATGATCATTGACACTCCATGAGGTGAGATCTTGCATGGTGCACCAGACCTAGGGAGACTGACAGTTGTTTTGTGTTTTCCTCCATTTGTGAATGATTGCACCAACTGTTGTCACCTTCTCACCAAGCTGCTTGGCGATAGTTTGGTAGCCCAGTCCAGCCTTGTGTAGGTCTACGATCTTGTCCCTGACATCCTTGGACAGCTCTTTGGTCTTTGCCATGGTGGAGAGTTTGGAATCTGATTGTTTGATTGCTCCAGTGGACAGTTGTCTTTTATACAGGCAACAAAATGAGATTAGCAGCACTCCCTTTAAAGAGACTGCTTCTAATCTCAGCTTGTTACCTGTATGAAAGACACCTGGTAGCCAGAAATCCTGCTGAATGATAGGGGATCAAATACTTATTTCCCTCATGAACATGCAAATCAGTGCATAATTTGTTAGACATGCATTTCTTTTGAATTTTTTGTTGCTATTCTGTCTCTCAGTGTTACAATACATCTACCATTCGATTTTTAGACTGATCATTTCTTTGTGAGTGAGCAAACATTCAAAATCAGCAGGGGATCAAATACTTATTTCCTTCACTGTATGTCAAGGCAGATGGTAATTGTCCAAGAACATGATGGTGGGGGATGGTGGGGAAGTTTTGTGAAACCACACTGTTCTGTTTACACAATCCAGTCAATCTAAGTCAATCTAAGGCAACTGTCAATTGTTTGAGTTACATGGCAGAAGGTGTGACTTGGTGTTCTATACACCAGGGGTAAAGATGTAAAAACTGCATTATGGTGTTGAAGACTCCCACCCTAATTCAGGTATGGTCCTTCTAGAATACAGTGGATGGCCTTTTACACACCTCTTGTAAACCATTTATCTTCTCTGTCTCATGTGTGCAACTCGCTGTCCTCAGATGTCCTTTTTCCTTCAGGTATAAGAAGTCTGCTGGATCTTGACCTGCAGAGTCTATCATTATGTGTTGCTGCGCTACACCGCAGACAATACAATATGTGAATAAATGTGTGAAAAAAAATATATTCTGAAACAATATTGAAACAATTAGCTAACTGCTGCTACTCTTTCCTGGAACACCATAAAATACAAAACATAAAAAAATTAGTGCGCTGTACACTAAAAAAATCATAAACAATAATAAATCAAATAAATACTGCTACATAAAAAATGAGCATAAATTAATTCAAATGATATAAGTCCACATTCATATATTAAATAATTAAAAGTCCCAAAATCCAACAACACAGTGCTGTGTGCTAAAGAAATCCTCCAATGGAAAGTGCATAGGTGTCCACAAATGCTTGACAGAAAAGAAAAAATCAGCCTCTTACCAGACACTTTGATCTCCAATCAAGAGATCAAATGAGCAGATGGTGTTCAGATCCCACACTGACACCCTAGTTAGCCTTATCAAGGAGATGAATGGAAGATGAATGGAGAACTGCAGGTTCACTTGAATGAATCCATCACATCAGACAGCTCTCCACATCATGCAAGGAAAGGTTTAAAACAGAAGAAGAAAACTTCATAGTACGACCCGATAAACCAGCAAAAAATGTATTAAAGTATTGCACTTAAATAGATAAGGTGCATAAAGATTCTGCTCTCTCCTGGCTCTCATCCTACCTGTCACAACGCTCTTTCAGCGTTACCTATAATGCTACCACCTCCCCCTCACTCCCCCTCTCTGTTGGGGTCCCTCAAGGCTCTGTCCTTGGGCCCCTTCTCTTCTCCATCTACACCTCCTCCCTTGGCCAACTCATACACTCTCACGGCTTCAACTACCACCTCTATGCCGACGACACACAAATCTATCTCTCAACCCCCCACCTCACCCCCTCGGTCTCTGCCCAAATCACACACCTACTGAGCGACATATCAGATTGGATGTCGCTCCACTTCCTTAAACTGAATCTCTCCAAAACCGAGCTCCTTGTCTTCCCCCCAGCCTGAACCCCACCCCCCATTGACTTCTACATCACATCCAACAACGCCAATATCAAACCCGCTCTGCAGGCCAGAGTACTTGGTGTCATTCTGGACTCCAACCTATCCTTCCAGCCCCAAGTCCAATCTTTAACAAACTCGTGCAGACTCCACCTCCGCAACATCGCCAAAATCCGCACGTTCCTAACCCCAGAAACAACTAAACAGCTCATCCACTCCCTCATCATATCACGACTCGACTACTGCAACTCCCTCCTCACTGGCCTGCCTCGCCGCTGGCTATCCCCGCTTCAGTCGATCCTGAATACGGCTGCCAGACTCATTCACCTTTCCAACCACTCCATTTCCGCCACCCCCCTCTGCCAATCCCTCCACTGGCTTCCAATTGCGCAACGGATCAAATTCAAAATCCTAACACTGACGTACAAAGCCGTCCACCATACTGCCCCGAACTACATCACTGACCTAATATCCAAGTACCGCCCAGCACGCACACTCCGCTCCTCACAAGACCTCCTTCTCTCTAGTTCCCTGGTCTCCTCCTCCCATGCCCGCCTCCAGGACTTCTCCAGGGTGTCACCCATCCTCTGGAACTCCCTGCCCCAACCCATCAGATTATCACCTACTCTCCTCTCCTTTAGGCACACCCTGAAAACCCATCTCTTCAGGGAAGCCTACCTCACCCCCTGCTAACTTGCTGACCTCCTCCACTCTTCCTACCACTCCATCCCCCACAGCTATCTCCTCCTGTACCACTATCCCATCCCTTCTAGATTGTAAGCTCGAAAGAGCAGGGCCCTCGATCCCCTCATGTTTTGCATTGTATTGGTATTGTTCTGTCACATGTTCTGTCCCCCTTTGTAATGTACAGCGCTGAGTGAACTATTGGCGCTTTATAAATACTGTATAATAATAATAATAATAATAATAAAGGCAGTGTAAACATTTAAAATTCCCGCAGTGTCAGACCACCAGTCAGAACAAGGTGACGTCACAGAAAGCTCCACAGTATTTATTTGATTTATTATTGTTTATGATTTTTTAGTGTACAGCGCACTCATTTTTTATATATATGTTAGGCAGTTCTTTTGCATCCTCAAAGAACAGATGTAGTAAAGAAGGTTTAGCTTTTGACACCTCTGAGCTAAGCCAATAGCAAGTTCCAAAATATGGTGTCACAAGTCATCACTGAGCAGCCAAGGACATGAACTGGCTCAATGTTGTATGTCTTGTAGTGGGATGGTGTGATAACATATGATACAATTATCCTAGCTTTGCTGGGGAAGTATATTTTTATCAGAAAAATTTTAAAATGTAAGTGAACTATTTGCTGTTTCAGGGATACAGCTGGACAAGAAAGATTTCACACCCTCAGTGTCAGTTATTTCCGTGGTGCCCAAGGATTTGTACTTGTTTATGATATCACAAATACAAGCTCATTTGAAAATATCTCTTTGTGGATGAAGGACATTAAAATGGTAAGTAACAAGTGAGCAAATGGATTTTTAGTATGAGTAAGTGCACAATATACTACAACGATAGATCTATTTCACTACAGTAGAAAATAACCTAACAATATGTTAAATAGCAAATCAAAAAATATATACATAGCATATACAATTGCGACATAATTCATATTGTAATTATGCCTACATAGGAAAACGGCAATTGCCCTACACATGTTACATATCGTTGCACACAACGGAGTGAGAGCAATAATTTTGGCACCAGAGCTCCTGTGTAACTCTAAACTGATGACCTCTAGGGGCTTTTAAGCATTGCCTATGAAAAAATATAGGGTACTAAATCTTTTTGCCGTTTCACGAGCGCACACAATTTTAAGGTCTGACATGTTGAGTATATATTTACAACCTCGTATAATATATTTTACCAAAATTTGGGCGCTAAATTGCATGTATGTGCCCAAAAATTAACATTAGGGTATTTTTACTGAAATTTTGTGTTTCATAAACCATTGCACTAATATTGTGTAACTTAAAATAAATGTAAATACCAATGTTTTATTATTTTGGGTTTTTTCTTTGTGTTGGGGGTTTTAAGTAATTTTATAGCCTAAAATGACTTTTAAAACTTGTAAATAATAAATTGTAAAAATGGCTCTGGTACTGAAGTGGTTAAAACACCTGTCTTCCATTCCCTAACACTGCATCCTCTCTCCTACCGGGTGCAGCATGGAAGCTTTAGTTTGCCTCACCTGCCAGCTGCCCGTAGCCAGTGAGGGTAAGCAGGGAATGCATAACTGGGGGGGTTCGGTGCCCTTATTGCACACTATCATTGTGGAGGGGATGGGGGTTGTGGGAGGATCATGGGGGGGAGCCTAAAATGCATTTTTGCCTGAGTTGACAAAAATCCTTTCACTGGCCCTGCAGGTATGCAGTGCTGAGTTAATAGCTGAGTTATAGCAGGCATATCTACTGTATGTGTTTGTTCTTCAATCTAGTTTTCCTTCTAAACACCTCAAATCCCTGTATGCTGGTATGCTTATTTTGACCAGCTTCCCTGCTTGAGAGCCCAGTCCCACCATTTGCATGGCACTACTGGCCAGATAGGTCGGCCATCACAATGATGGGCCAGTAGGAAGATGTAGGAGGGAGTAGTGGCACACTCTTATCAATAAAAAACTGTTTAAATTTGCACATCATAGCCCCAAGATTCCAGCCAATGAATGACTGAATGGAAAGCTCAGCTGACATGCAATACGTGGAGGGGCCTAATATTAAATATATGTGGTGCCATGGCAAGGTTATGTTGGCTTCATTTTGAGTTTGCTTCCTCTAGCTCTCCTTGTGTTACGAGTGGAATGTTAACTTTAGTGTAATCTGGCACTGTTGACTCCTTTGTGCAGACAGATGGAAAACTGCATTTAAAGTGGTAGTAAACCGTGACCTTTAAAAAAACCCAAAAACCTCCAAGGCAATGTCATAATGTGCTAATATGCATCACATACTAGCACATTATGTGAAACTTACCTTAAAACGAAGCCCTCCAGTGGCGCACTGTCACCGCTGAAAGGACTTCCATCTTCATCCCTCTTCCAGGTTCACGGGCTCCGGCAGCTTTAATGGCCGAGCCATGATGACGTCACTCCCAGGCATGCACTCGGGAGTCATTCTTTACAGCGCACTGCATGCCGATGTCTTTTACAAGTAAATATTTCCTAAACGGGGCACGTTCAGGAGATATTTACAGTACCTACAGGTAAGCCTTATAGGCTTACTTGTAAGTACAAGTGAAAAAAATGACTTTTTTTTTTTTTACCACTTTTAAGATCTGAATCTTTACTTTGCCCTGTAAATGATATTTTCTCCTTTCAATTTTACAGGACCAAAATTCATTAGATTTTTTTCTCTTGCTTTCATACACTTTAAAATCTTTTTGGAGATTTAATTTAATGTAATTAGCAATTACTTGTTCAGTTTTAATGTTTATTATTTTTATTTGCTTTTTATTCCTGATATTTCTATAAGGGCTTCCAATGCTGTTGACCATTAGGAATTTAAAGTATATGTAAGCCATCACCTTGTAAAACAACTCATTCAGTTTAAAATAGAAATGAAAGGCAAACTGTGTATAGATATTACAAAACACTATAAACATTTTCCCTCCGTTTTATAAGTGATCACATACTCTCTATGCTCCTTTTTCAGCTGGGAACTGGGGACCAAGAAACAGCTTTACACTGAACCTCCTGGGGGGGGGGGGGGGGGGTGAATAGAAGTCTGATCATTGGTGGAGAGCAGGTTCCCAGCAAAGCTTAGCAAACTGCCCACACTGTGCTGTCATGCCTAGCGTAATCGGTAATCGGTTTTTAAAACTTCTTCATACAAGTACATGGTACAGCAGGCACATATCAGAAATATGAAATGTTGGATTTACATTACATACATGGTCTCCTTGAATGTCTTATCATAGATAAGTATTCCTTTTTTAGATATATTGGTTTGTTTTCATTCCAATTTTTCCAAGATTTATAGTTATTATCACCTCCAGTTTAAACCAGAACTTAGTGCAAAAAGTGAAGTACCACTAGTTTGCTCCCTCCCCCAGCCTGTAACTGAGTTACATGTTTTTTGGGGGGAAGGGGGGTATGGGTACCAATTTATATCAGTACCTGCTCCAACTTCTGCAATCCTCGCCTTGGCAAAGATGATGCCTCGTGCCCCGTCCCCTCCCTCTTCCGTAGCCTTCTGGGATACATCATATGCCCCAGGAGGCTGCAGGGCTATTCACAGAGCACCAAGTGAGCTTGCGCATGTGCAGTGTGGTTCCTCAGGATGCCATAGCAGGCTCCCATATCCAAAATGGATAAGACAATGCTGGACACCAGACACTGGTAAGTACCTATATTTTAAAAGCCAGCAACTGCAGGATTTGTAGCTGATGACTTAATAAAACAATTGAAGTTCTTCTTTAACATTCATTGGAATGTCAACATAGTTCTTAGCATAAATGAACGCTATTGTCTAAATGTTCCGGAACCTGATTATTCACAATTGTATGACTAAACTTAGAAAAGCCTTTCCTGTAATCTTTTTCATTTAAAGGATTTGTATTTCTGAGCACCTAGTTCTCTGATTTATACAGCACAGCCTTGTCTGGCAGAGCAGGAGACCTGATTTTCATCTGCTGCAGCTGTCACACCTACAGGTCTTGTCCCTTTCCTAGCCTGTGATTGAGCAAAGTGTGAAAGGATGATAGTGTCACAGGTTAGTGTAACTCCTCAAAAGTTTAATCTTGATGAAAAGTTAAAAGGCAGCTTTGTCTTTTTGATGGTGCTCCCATCCTTTCAACACCTTTTGCAATACCACCCAGCCTGTGAATATACAAATAAAGGAGAAGCAGAAAACTGATGAGATCATCTGTCTGTCACTTTGCTCTATCCTATCAGCATTTTCATTGCAGCACAACTGATTTGCTCTTTATGCTACTTCTGCCTCTCCCAGTCTGAGCTATGCTGTACAGGGGGTTCTGAGAGGTTGACAGCAGGTCAAATTCAGATACTTACACTGCTAGCATTTAAATATACATTTAATTATGTATTAATGAAAACAGAGTTGCTTTTATTTGTGTATTTTACTATTTCAGGTTAACAACTTGCATAGGGTCTAGGTGTATATGGGATGCCCAAGGAACTATAAAACTGTCTAAATTAACCCTAGTATATGTATGTACGAATGTAAGTTAGGGACCTTAGATTGTACGCCCCTTCAGGGTTAGGGACTGATGTGAATGTGTATATATAATGTGTGTGTGTGTGTGTGTGTGTGTAAAGTGCTGTGTAAATTGACGACACTAAATAAGTACCTGTAATAAATAAAAGTTGCATAATTCAGAATCCACTGTAAAGCAGTCCCAGATGAAGACTATTTGGGTATTGCACCTGATCACCCTCTCCCTTCTGTGGCCCAAGGGGTGTATAAGTACTCACACTGTCCTGTCCTGTAGCTTAGTGGCTTGCATCTGCTTTCAGGCCTTACGCTGGGATGGCTCCTTCCCTGCTCTGACAGGCTGTCCTCCCTAGGAGACTGTAGGGCAGTGGAAATCCTTCTGTCTGCTCCAGCCTGTGAACATGCCCCACTCCCTGGGGTCCCCTCCCAGGCTCCACGCTCCAGCACCCTCCTTCAGTCCATCTTCCACCCAAACATAAGCACTACTACTGCTGCACAGGTTCTCACATTTAAAGGTTGCTCTTAGCCACCATGCCCAGCCTCCTGCCTGGAGATTAGCCAAGTTCCCTTAAACATGCAAGACTAGGCCTCCTTCTCTCCTCCACCCCTCTTCTAGAAAGTTCCTCCAGTTTCTAGAAGGGTGGGAGGGCTTCAGAAGCCCTGACCTGTAGAGCCTCCCAGCCTGATTAAGGTATCCTCATCGCCTCATTCCCAGGCTGGCTCATCCCACGTTTCTAACAAGCATTTGACTAAAAAAAAAACGATCTTCTTAGAGGGCGCTACAGGGAATACAAATCTGTAACCTTTACTAAGAACTCCCAGTTTCCTTTTCCCAATTTATATCTAGTTGATAGTCCATTTCCCAGGACCCTATTTCTGTTTGCTGCCCTTTGAGCAACCACCAAGATGTCTCTGCTATTTCAACCTTTCTGTGCACATCACTGCTTCCTAAATTCCCAATGCATTTATGATTTCAACTCAGGTTTCTGTATTCACTATATTGTAATATTTGTATATCAGCTAATCAACTATTAATTTTATTGGGAGACCTTGCATTTTCATTTTATAGTATTACAACCATATCTTACTTTTGTAGCAGCGCGTGTCCATTCTAAACAACTTCTTACCATTCTTTCTAAACCCCAATCATTCGTGCCGTTACTAACCAATGTTGTGTCACACTACTTAGCTTTTCTGTCTTACTTTTTTCATCCTATTTTCCCCCCATTTCTATTAATAAAATGTTATTAAATCCTCAAAAGTTAATAGCACACAGTGTTGTGGACCTCAGCATGTAACATGCATGCCAGCTGTCTTTCTTTGCAAGTGTGTGATTTCTTAGATTTTCCTCTGTAAAAATACTCTCCTTTTAGGTTCCAGCTTTCAAGTGGTTCTATTCCCTTATTATGGGGACCCATAGAGCCACCTCTGCATGCCCTTACAGCTTTCTAGCTGGTTGACTCCTCTTGCTACACTGCATGCATCCACAGCAGCATAGAGCATTGAAACCTAGGGCTGAAATCTGCTCCCACCTTTCTGTGCCTGCACTGTCCTTTCTGAGTTATGCCATCGAAGTGTATAGGGCATTCGCTCCTCTACTTGGAAGTTCAGGGAAACAACACTGTGACCTGATGCCAGTGGTTCATAAACAATACAAGTGCTACACTTCTAAACCAAGAATGTATGAGGGAATGTTGCACTTTTTAAATAGAATGCATTTATTGGAAAAAAAATAAAATAAAAGAGTGTTTAGTACTTTTAAACCAACCTGAAACCTTTAAAAGAGCAGTTGTCATTGGGACACTTTCCAAAGACGGGGGTGTCAGTTGATGGGGCTTAGTACTGAAGTTAAAGAAATCCACCCCTTAGAAAAAAATTGAAAGCAGTTTCAGAGAGACAAAGAGGATATTCTGGCAAATGCACATGATTGTAGAAAGGATTTTTCCTTTTAAAACCTAAAAAGAAGAAAAAATTAAAGTCAGTAGCTACTAATACTATAGCTGCTGACTTTTAATAAAGGAAACTCACCTGTCCAAGAATCCAACACCGTCCTTACCTGGACCAGGTGTTCTATGGTCTTTGAGTCTCTGACATTGACATGTTTAGTGTGGGAAGCCAACTGTGACGTCTTGCAGCAGAGTTCCCGCTGCGCATGCGTGATCCACACTTAACTATGTGAATGGTCTCACAGTCTTCTGGGACCTGTGGTGTGCCCCACAAAGAGAAGGGAGGTGAACTTCCATTCTGATCTCCTAGGCAATCCGGGCAGATGTACCTCTGAGAACCAGGTACCCATTCCCCAACAAAAAAAAAAGTTTTAAAAGTTGAGGGGAGGGGGGAGGAGGAGCTAGAAAAAGTGGAACTTTCCATTGTGGGTGAAGTTCCATTTAAAGGTATGTTCAAAAGCTAAATGGCTAGATACATACAGTATATTTGTTTCACCAGCTTTTGGGAAGATTTTTCCAGCTGATCTTACTTTACTTTATTTAAAATACACACTTCATTACTTGCAAAATATTTAACACTGACCTATATCAGTACAAGGAGCAAATCATTTTAATTGCTCGCAACAAGGAGCATGCAGATAGAGAAAGCACAGTAATAGGGGGATGAGGTAATCACTGTGCTGCTTTTCCTTTCACTGTTCAGTCACAAGCTGGGTGGATCCAGGATGACCCTGTGCTTACAGTAAGTGGGCTGAATGATGCTGGCCATCATACTGAAGACATCTAGTAGCAGAAAAAAGTACTGCAGGTGAAATTTTTGGATTAAAGGTGAATATTGCTGCAAAAGCTGGTTTAGTTCTTTTATCTTTTACTGGGTGATTCATTTTATATTGTTGTTTTGGCCTGGATTTCTGTTTTAATAAAATATGTTGATTAATACAATACATACATGAAAGAAAATACAGACATATCTGTTCATACATGGGTTTAAATGTAATTTAGCCTTTTTATTTAAAGTATTTTCCAGTTACATGCTTTACTAGTGTGTTTATCTCAGTCTCCCTAGTACTATATTCTATTTGCCATTCCCAATAATCATCTCTGGCAAGAGTTGAAAGCCTGTAACTGGTTCACTATTGTTAGACTAAATTAATTCTGAATGGAAATGCAGAAAAGTGTCAGCGCTCATATTACTGCCATACAAAATGCAGGTGCTTTTGGTTGTAAGACTGTCTGTCATCTACAATGGATGTGAGCTGTAGTGCTTTGCAGAATCTATCCATTCCCAAAGTCACTGCATCTTTACAATTTGCTTTTGTGATTCAGAAAGCTGGGGAAGAAGTGGAGGTAGTTCTCCTGGGAAATAAGTGTGACAAGGAAGACGAACGTGAGGTTTCAAAAGAGAGAGGGGAAAAGGTAAGCATTGATTATCTCTGCATATAAAAAAGTATTTGAGTTAGGCGGGTACACTGCATCTGTAATGTGCCTGACCATGCAGTTCCGTCATTAGGAACTAATGTTGCTTAGAATGGAATTCTCATTCTGCAATATTGATTGCACCTTTTTCTTAAGCTGTAAGTTTGAAAAATGTCTTTTAATTTACGTATTAAACTTTTATCCATTGGTTCAAACTTTTCAAACTTATTTATTATCTGTTAACTTTATTTGTTACTCTCTTAGAAATGTAATGTCTTTGCAAATCATGCTTAAATCCTGGCTGTAACAGTGTCAGTTTAAGGACTGCTCTGCTCAAACTTGCTCAGAGCGTAAAGTTAAGGGAAGGTGAGGATGAATCCAAGGATCGAGGTAATCAGTGCTCCTAAAAATGACATCTGTGATCAGAATTTCTCTTTCTGCTGTTTTCCAATGCAAGTGGAATGACTTGTTCTCTTGACTCCCTGAAAGTATCTACTGGCTCCAAGATTGTACTGACCAGCTAAAGATTTGTGAAATGTACTAAAGTGGAGCAGATAGAATCTAGATCAGCTTTCCATCGCAACCAATTAGATTCTATCATCAAAATGTTCCACTCCGCATTCAAAATGAAAGATAGAAGATGATTGATTGCCTTGCACAGCTGCTCCTGATTCTATTTGCTGCAATTTTTATACATTCCCTTCATTGTTTTTCTTTAATCAACTTCATGCTCCAGTCTTCTGCTTTTATCATCTAGGTTTAACTGAGGGATTGGAGACCTCTTACTGCTTTTCATAATTATTAAGGAAAGATCTGTTTGATCAAATACAGATTAACATTGTCTGCTGGATCCTTAGATACTACTAAACACGCATTTAAAAAAAAAAAAGAAAAATTCAATATGCTTAAATATAAAGTACATTGTAGAATATCCATCTTCCTTCATTTCATCTCTTAAATGCAAACTTTTTTCTGCTGCTCTCAGACTTCCTGTTCCATGGTGGCTACACTTATTCTTCATGACCCCTGTGCGTGTGAATGTAGCATCCGGACTGTGCTCACCCCCTAGATGGACCATGCATCTATAATTATGATCAAGCTCAGAGGGGTGGAGTGAAACACCTTGGGGGCATGGCCTGGCAGGAGCCCAGGTTGAGACTGCCATTCATTCCAATACCAGTGGGTCTGCATAGATGTGCGGCTTCATGGGATCCATTATAGCTGATAGGAGAAGGTGGATGCTGCTCAACTGGCCACAGGAGTCAGACGCATGGATGGCTTGGCCTCAGCCACCGCTCCAGCCTCAACCTCTCATGCATTTCACCCCGCCCAATGGGGCTTGATCACAGAGTCTTGGAGCAGTGGCTGAGGCCCAACCATCCATGTGTCTGACTCCTGGGATCGGTTCCGCAGTGTCCACCTTCTTCTTCTATCAGCTATTCTGGAAATTGCTCTGGGACACCTGCTCCCTTTCCTTGCCAGTGAGGGGATTCTTATCTTACTATCCAGCTTGTAGCCGCACCACAAGACACTTTCATGGGATCCATCCTTTGCTTAACAGATGCATCTATGAGCAGACACATTCAGCTTTTGTTCAATTGTACTATGCATAGATCACATCATGTGACCAGACATAAAAACACCTTTTATCCCTAATTCATTCTCTGCATTGAGGTAAAAACCTTGCACTTTCTGTTCCCCCCCCCCCCCCCCCAAACACTTACTTGAGACCTTTATCGATCCAGTGCTGTGCCTAGCTGCAGGTCCTCTGCTTTTTTTTTTAGTCTAACGGGCTTTGCTGTCAATCAAATCCAGTGAGTAGGAAGCAGGGGGTGAGGCTGAGCCACGCTGTGTCTGTCTATGGACATACACAACCCAGCTCGAGAGCAAGTACTCGCATCTGCCCCCATGGCAAGTGGCTTGCTATGGGGCAGACACAGAAGAGGAGCCCAGATGTCAGTGGAGACAGAAGAAGAGAAAGTTTGGGGCCACTCTGTGCACTACCATTGCACAGGGCAGATACGTATAAACCTGTGTATTATTTTATTTAAAAATACTTTACAACCACTTTAAAGTTCTTATCAAGTTAGCATCAATAAAAGCTGTTATTACTTTTTTTGACCATGGTCAAAGCACAAATTATTGTGATGAAACTATAGCAAATAGACATGCAATTCTCAAGGGTTTATTAGCAAAAAGGGTTCTGTTGCAAGGTTTTGGCACCATAGATGTTTATGGAGGATTCACAACATCTGGCTATAGACAATGATGACAATGGTGGTTTGCAAACAACAGGATTCATCACGCTCCGCTTTTTAATGTTCTTTATGAGTCCTGTCAGGCAGGACTGACCTGCAGTACTGATGGTGGCTGAATGGGCAGGCTACTGCACCTGTGTAAAGAAACACAATGGGAAATGGAGTGCAAGACACAGTAATATTGTATAACAGGTCAGACAATGTAAGAGTTCCAGTGGTTATGTCATTTG